AGTCACTAGAAAGGGGACAGACGGGGAAGGGAGCAGGGTGGGCTGGAAATGAGCTTTCCCATCAGTCCCCTGCCTTTGCGTCACTTCCTCCAGATGGTGCCACACACTTGTGCCTCCCTCCTTCGTCTACTGTCACTTTATCACCGAGGCTTTCCAATATACACAATGTAAATAGAAAATATTTGTACATACGTGCAAAACTCCCTTACCACACTTGCCACGTTCCTTTCCCGTTTTCTCCGGCATGCTCAAGCCGCTTTGTCATTCTAAGACTTTCCTTATTTATGTTTTCTTGTCTCTTTCCCCTCTCAAGAACGAAAGCGCCTGAATGCAAGATTTCCCTGTGTTGTGTTTGCTGCTTTCTCCTCAGCACTGGGATGCCTTGCAATTATCAGATAGGCAAGACTATCTGATGAAAAAGTGAATGCATCGTTGGTGTGGTTAACCCGAGACACGAGGGAACGGTGAAAAGCCCCTAGTACCAAGTTGCGGGATGACCTGTGGTTGGTGGTCACCACAGAGAAGACAGGCGATGGCAACGGCAGATTCCCCTGTCTTGGGGACAGAGTGAGTGTGGGGCCCACTTATCTGAGTGGACTTTTCCCAGAGCCAGACACATGCTATTCCCAAGTACGATCCCTCACATAATCTTCGCCAGGAGGGTACGCCCTGTACATCTGGGATGGAGGCCCAAGGGTGCTACCTACCTGCTACGTGACCTTAAACAAGTTACTCATTTCTCTGGGATCTGGGACCTCACAGGTGAAATCAAGGGCTGTCAGAGGTATATCAGCTGTAGTTATTAGGACTTAATAAATTCACATATGATAATGGTCAGTAAGACCCTACTTGGTGGCAAACATTCTTGATTTCTTTGACTTCTCTGAACAACCACATAGCTTACAAATAATTGACCTCATCTTCAAGTGTGCTTGAAGCCCAAGTACACTTAGAGATGAAGTATTATTCCCCAGGGACCAAGGTTGGACCCGGTGAGCCATATCCTTCCGCTACATCATGCTGTTTCTTTCCTTTACAATCCGAGAAGGGTTGTACATGATACGTATGAGATTCTGGTTCCTTATTGTGAAAATTGTGACTTTATCAGTGTACCTGTCTTCCCTGTTGAATGTGAGGCCCAGAAATGGTGGGAGATTCAGGAGCCGGTGCCCTGGTAAATCCCTTTAAACGGGCTAACACCTGAGTTGCTTTCCAGACTCAGCCAGAAGCTTTGGCTAGCTGCTTAGCCTTTCAACACTTCTGTCCTCAGGATCTTAGTGTGTGCCTCCGACAGACCTTGGACACCCGTGGCCACCTCTCCCTCCCACAGAGAGAGAGCATGTGCTGTCCAGGCATTCTTTCCTCCCCGCCTCCATATCTGAGCCCCCAGAACTAGGTTCCCAGCCCTCCCCTGGGGCCTCTCCTGGGGCTGAGGGTCTGCACCTTCTCCCCTCCACCCCTGGCTCCTATTTTTCCAGACTTCTGCCCCTTCCTAGATGGGTGGTTGAAGAACTCGCTGTCCTGCTCTTTGCTGCTCCCGCCCTGCCCAGAGGCTCAACCTGTACCCACGTCCTATCTCTGCAGACAGAGGAGAAGGTAATGGACTTGAGGCCACATTTGACTCCTTTGTAGTCAGCCGTGGTTGGGCTCACTTTGTCCCTGCAGGAGGGCAGCGAAGGGGCAAAGGATACAGGGAGAAAGAAAATAAAAGCAGAACACCACCCCCACTCACACAGAGAAAGTTCCCTGCATAGAGCAATATCCCCTTCAACCATTTCTGCCAACCTCAGACAAGCACTTTCCCTGGCCCTGCTCAGCAGGGAACACACCTGAGGGTGGGATCATCTGGTCCCAGGTGAGTCCACGACAAGAGGGAGCCTTGCTTTATTACAGGACTCCATCTGAGCCCCACACACCCAGAAAAAAGGACATGTGTGACGGAGGTCCAGGCACGTTTCTCCTCCATGACCATTTCCCTTGCACGCAGTGCAAACCTGCCTCACTGCCGGGCCAGCAGGGGACATGGGGTCTGGCTGACTCGTTCTCCTGGCCGGCCCTTCACCCAGCCCTGCTTCAGAACTGCACTCCCTGTAGTAGCTGGACCCACCCCACATCACTTCCCTGAATGCCTGGGTCTCACTCCAGAAACCCTTGCCGTCCCCCCATACTCAACCCAAAGCAGCCCCACTTCCCTCCTTTCACTGTCCTTCAGACTTTCTCGCTGTGGGCAGCCTTGAAGGTACCGTTTTCCCCAGTGGGTCAAATGGAGGAGTTGGGCATGGAAGCAATAGAGCCCCATGTCTTTATTTTATGCCTAAGAAACAGGACTGAATTGCAATTTCACTGCAGTGTGAAGACAGAGGGAGATC